ATTTTTGAGTCCATGTTGGCTTCTGATAATCAAGATGTCTGCTGGACCTCTAGCCATCTCAACTCAACCGAGTTTCAGGCAAGAGGAAAACGAAGAGAGGGAAGGGGAAAAGAGTAGATTCTCCAGCTGAGTCTGTTTTCTTAAGGGATTTTTCTGAAACTCCAACTAATGACTTTTGCTTACTTTCTTTTCTAATTTTAACTGGAGGATAATCACTTTACAATGTTGTATTGGTTTCTGCTATACAACAATGTGAACCTGCCCTAAGTATTGACCACTTCTGGTTGTAAGGAAGGGTGAGAAATGTAGTCTCCAGCATTTCACTTCTGTAAAAGTAAGGTTCTGTTAGTAGGAAGAAGAAACTGGACACTGGGCAGGCAAGTAAATGGTTTTGTCTCAGAAGGAAAGAAATGTGCAGGGATTTGCAGATGCAGATATATTTTTTGATGCAGGAGAAGGACATTGAATCTGTTCATGTTGAAGAGATTTGGAATTTCTGTGAATTTCAGTGACAAGTTCATCACTAGAGAAAAGGGATATTTGCAGACAGTCTGAGAAGTATGGGGGGTGATTTGGAATAATGCTATGAAAAAATGACAAGGACCACATCTTAGTGGACCGGCACATAAAAGAATGGTGATAAGGGCTTAGCAGGAGCTGGACATCATTAATTTGTCCTGGTACAGAACTGAGTAGCTGTGGGATTTTCAGCTATTCAGTGCTCAACAAATCAGATCTAGGAGCGTGGCTAAATTCATTTAACGTTGTGTGTGTGTTGGGTGTGGGGCTGTAGGAGCTAGAAAAAAATCAAGGAAGAGAAAAATTATTTTGGCAGAAACAGACAAAGTAATTCCAAAGGAGGTGTGGGGTTTTTATTCAGGCCTCAAAATGCAGGCCGGAGTCTGCTGAGAAGGGAAGGAACCCCAAGCAAAAGAATGGAAACAGGATCAGGGATGGGAATGAGCAAGACCTATTGAAGATACAGTAAGTCTATTTGGCTGAGGAGGAGGGTTAATCTAAGGCAGTAATAGAAGGCGGATGTTGAAACAGTACATCTGATAAAGACCGAATAAAGAACAAATTCTTTAGTCCTGAATTCCAGGCTGTATTTTCCAGGCAATGAGGACCTGTTGAAGGTTACTATGCAGGAGACTGATTTAAGAAGACTGATGTGGAGGCAGGGTGCTGTAAGATGAGAAGAGAGTGGTTGTGGAAAGGAAAACTGGTTTAAGAGGCTGGCGAAGGACTAACATTCGGGAAACAGTGCATAGAAAGGAGGGGGCTGGAAGGCAATGGACAGAAGGTCACTAACCTTCGTGCTCCCCGTTTCCACATTCTGGGCTCTCATTTGTGAGTACTTGTCAAAGTGTTTATCTTACCCCACTGGCTCCTTCCTGGCCCTTCTTTCCTTCCTTCCTTCCTTCTTTCCCCTCCCCTCTGCCCCACCCCTCTTCCCTCCCTTCTCTCCCTCCCTCCCTCTTTCTTCTTTCCTTCCCTCCTTTCTTTCTACAAATACTTACTGAATATTTACTACTTACATACTGGACATTGTATAAGGCACTGCAGAGTCAGAGAAGGAAATTTTATTCCCTTGGGGAATGCAAACAAGTAAGGAAATCAAGTGGAATTTAATAGGGGATCAAGTGGAAGTGTGTGTGCCAGGTTTTAAGGGCACAGAGAGGAGGGTCCTCTAGTCCATTGTGGCAGAGAAGATGCTATTTTAACCTGCCTGGAAAAATCACCAGGGAAGCAAGTAGAAGAGGGAGCAAAGATGCAGCAGGAAAGAGGAGCCTGGGCCTCAGGGGTGGCTGGTGGCTTGGTGAACTGACCACACTGTGTCTGTGCGGGAGCAAAGGGCCGTGAGGCCCAAGAAATTGCCAGAAGCTTGTGTGTCCTGCTAAGGACATTAGATTCTATTCCAAACATGTTTTGGAATAGAATTTTACAAAGGATTTTATGAAGAATATTAGCCTTTTAAAGAGTCACTGAAGGGGCTTCCTGGGTGGCTCAGTGGTAAAGAATTTGCCTGCCAATGCAGGAGACCCAGAGACGCAGGAGACGTGTGTTCAGTCCCTGGGTCAGGAAGATTCCCTGGAGGAGGAAATGGGAACCCACTCCAGTATTCTTGCCTGGAAAATTCCATGGGCAGAGGAGTCTGGCGGGCTACAGTCCATGGGGTCACAAAGAGTCCAACGCGATTTAGCGACAAAGCATGCAGGCAAAGAGTCATTGAAACAAAGGAGTTAACATTTCAGGGCTGGAGTCAGATTGAGACCAGGGTGTTACTTGTGGTTCAGCTACTTGGGAACTGTGTGACCTTGGGCAAGTAACTTAACCTCTCTGCTTCAGTTTCTTCTTCATTAAAAAAAGAAAAGAAAAAATAACAATAACAACAAAAACTACCTTCCTCATAGGTTTTTTTTTTTTTCTTGATAGTTAAATAAATCACCACGTGTAATATTCTTAGCACAGTGCCTGGCCCTGAGAAAGCCCTCAAAACTGATAGCTACTTTTACCAGTACTCATATCACCTCTGGCATTGTTACTACGACAATAACTGTCCTGGGAGTGGTGTGGAAGATGAGAAAAGCTGGAGGAAAGGAGATTTGTTAGGAGGCCTCTGCAATACTCTAGGGAAGAATATTTGTTTTATCCAATATCCAAATGTCATTCAGAAGGAATTAAAAATGTAGAATAAATGAAAAGATGGACAAGTAGAATTTAGTGACTGATTAGCTCAAAGAAACCAAGGAAAGAGTAAAAGATGACTGCAAGGTTTCAGGCTCAGGTGACTGTAGAATTCTGATACTATCTACACAAGGAAGCTCTTTCTCTTTCTACCCATTATCTCAAGCTTCTCAGGCCATTGCTCGCCTGACATCTTTGGAAGGCCAGTTCCTTTTTCACTTTCATTCACTAGGTCAGTGGCTATGCTGTGCAGGTCTGCCACTCTGTCTTTTTCTGGAATGCCCTGTCAAAATCATAATGAAGGCATATTTCAATTTAGAACCTTCAAATTTCTGAAGTCTTAAACTCCACTTAGAAATCGGTTTTGAATAAATCTTTCTATGCTTATGTCCTAAGTCACTTCAGTTGTGTCTGACTCTTTGTGACCCTATGGACTGTAGCGTGCCAGGCTCTTCTGTCCATGGGATTCTCCAGGAAGAACACTGGAGTGGGTTGCCGTGCCCTTCTCCAGGGGATCTTCCTGATTCCTGGGAACCTGCTTCTCTTACATCTCCTGCATTGACAGCCAGGTTCTTTACCCCTAGCACCACCTGGGAAGCCCATATAGCTCTCTAGTTACTTCCAAACCTTATTTCATATTCTAGATCGTATGTTTCATATTCTAGATATTCTAGATCACATAGCTATCTCTAGAAAGACTTTAACATCTATGCCTCTGTTTAGAAGCGTTAATAGAATTCTATACTTCTTACAGTTTACATTGTGTTTGGAACAAAATTTTATTATGCCTTCTTAATGTTATATACTCTTTATTTTCTCTTCTGTTTTATATTGGAATTATATTTTTGGTTTCATATCACAAATAAAAAGGCAGTCAAACCCGGCTCGGCTTTTGGCTTTTCTCTTTCTGCCAAGTTAGTACTTCTGCTCTGACTCTGAAGGCTTCCCTGGTGCCTCAGTGGTAAAGGACCTACCTGCCAACGCAGGAGACACGGGTTCGATCCCTAGGTCAGGGAGATCCTCTGGAGTGGGAAATGGCAATCCACTCCAATATTCTTGCCTGGAAAATTCCATGGACAGACAGCCCGATGGGCTACAGTCCACGCGGTTGTAAAGAATCGGACACAACTGAATGACTAAGACACAAACACACATACAATCTGACTCTGGAGACAATTGGGGAAATCTGGAAGTATGACTTGAGATCTTGTTTTAACCAAATGATCTGTCCATCATGAATGCTTGGTTTCAGTACAAGGAAATAGGAAGGGAGACTAAGGCCACAGTTCTTTTCTTTCTTTTCTTCTTTTTTCCTCTTTTCCTTGAGTTGAGTTATTCTGATTACTAAAAATGCTTTGCTGATTGACAAAGAACAGAAATTCTGAGTTTGGATGGGGTTCAGGGATCCAGTAACATTCAGAGAAATTGTTTTTAAGAGAGAAACTTTAAAATAAATGCCGTATACAAAAATGAGTGACACAGCCTAAACAAGTTGGCAGAGTTCTCTCCTACTGAAAATGGCCTTGTGTTGATCTGTCTAAACTCTTTGCCTAGGTTTCTTGGGATCCAGGGCACCTACCTGTGAGACATCTGTCTTGAACTAGGAGAAGTAGAACAAAACTCACTGCCTATTGGAATCTCCGTCCAAGATTTTGGCTTCCTTAGTCTGAATTCCTGCCAATGAAGTTAGCAAGAACTAGTGCAGGCTTAGAGGTCAAAGTTGAACAGAAAGAGCTTCCACACCAGTTCATCTGCAACCCTTATACTCTTTCTCTCCACTGGTCACCTAGTCTGTGTGTGTGTGTGCCCCCGTGTTTCATAAATAGTACATGAGGGATGGGAAATTATCTCTGTGGGAAAAGGTAGTATTTTGGGTTCTCAGCATTTTAGTCATCTGCTCTTGTATTTTTCCAGACTGTGAACTTATTTTGAGGCTATTAAAATCTATTCACAGTGATAAAAAAAAAAAAAGGTAGGGACTCAATAACTTTCCCAATTGCCCTTTTGTCTAGTAGCAAATACTCAAACACTTTAATTTCTCTTTCTATTCCCTGGGGACAAAACAATCCTACTCATCTTTATGAAAGGACCTATCTCTGCCTTTATTTTCTGTGCTGGTAGCTCAGCAGGACAAAACAGTCCCTGGGCTAGCTTGTCTGTCCAGGAGTAAGGATTTTGGCAGCTGCTTCAAGAATTGGCTCCCTGGTGAGGGCGCTGGTCTCCCTTGGGTGTGGGAGAAGGGAGAGGTAGAGGCGACCAGAATCCCATTAAGGTCACAGGCACAAAGGAATCAGGAAGTAAGAAGAAATTATTACAGTCTGTTCATCGCTCAGGATGTTAAAGGCAATAGCCTGGGCCGGTTGGTTAGTCATTAGCAGAAAAGAAAGAGCAGTGAGGGTCAGGACTGGTCAAACCTCTGAGACGGACTTGAGGCGGGGAGAGAGCTGCTGGCAAAGGCAAGACGTGGAGACAGACTTACTTGGAGTTCACCTGTTTCTCTTGGTAACTTTTTCCTGGGCCAGGAACCAAGATGCCTCTTTTCTCTTCTCAGGCATTTGTCTAAATTAGGCGTTCTCAAATTTCTTTTTGTGGTGGGAATCCTGAGAAACCTTCCCACCGATCAGCTGCCCACTTTCTACCGGGTTTTGCCCTGGGGCCACAGAAAGGGAGCCGGTGAGTCTCTGCAAGCAGGTTGGCCTGACGGCTGTGAACGGGGCTTTGTACACTCTCCCAGAGCCGGCAGGACTGGTGCTGACTGCAAAGTTTCCGGGTGGAGGAAGAGAAAGTGGATCTGCAGAGGGTGAGGGGAGAGGGAGAAGCCCCTCTCCCCCACTCTCCCCGCGGCCGCCATGGGTAACCTCTGCCTGAGGCTCCGGCCCTGCCTGGATCGGTGTCCCCACTGCTGGTGGTCTGAGGAGGCGGACAAGCCCGGGGTGATTCAGAACCCCTGGGCTGACAGCCCTCCCGATCCTCCCCGGCCGCCGGCTCCCGAGCCCGAGAGAAGCCAGGGCCAGTTCTTTGTGGCTCTATTTGATTACCAGGCTCGGACGGCCGAGGACCTGAGCTTCCACGCGGGTGACAAGCTCCAGGTCCTGGACAAGTCTCACGAGGGCTGGTGGCTGGCCAGGCGCTGGGAGAAGAGGGCCGACAGCTCCGGCCGGCAGCTGCAGGGCTACATTCCTTCTAACTACGTGGCTGAAGACAGGAGCCTCCAGGCAGAGCCGTGAGTCTTTCTCAACTCTCTGAGGGCGGGTAACGGGTTTTTCTTTCTTACCTAGCTGCAAACCCATTAATTTTCAAAGAGCTACTTAGAAAGTTATGAGGAAGTACTGGGAAAATCCCTCTAATTGAACCACAGCTCCCCTGAGAGGGGAGAGTGAAACTGGAAGGTAATTATTGAAGTGACTTCCGTTACAGTGGTATACTCCACCTGTCCTAGGTACATTTTCATCAACGTAAACAAATGGTGTATTTAATACTCTCTCTTTTCTTTGGCTGTAAAAGAAGTCCGGCTTCCCTGGTGGCTCAGACGGTAAAGAATATGCCTGCAACAATGCAGGAGACCCGGGTTTGATCCCTGGTCGGGGAAGATCCCCTGGAGAAGAGGATGGCAGCCCACTCCAGTATTCTTGCCTGGAAAACCCCATGGACAGAGGAGCCTGGCAGGCTACAGTTCATGGGGTCACAAAGAGTCAGATACGACTGAGTGAGCACAAAAGAAGTCATGCCACGCATTAACATAGAAGTGTGTTTCTTTAGCAGGTGTATCATAGATCTTCCTTAAACCACACCTTCAAACCTAAAGTCCAGCTCGGTCTTTTTCTAAACTTTTGAAGCATCAGCTCCAGTCCTGAGAGACACACAAAGCCTAACTAACGAATTAATAGAAGGTCACATTTAGAAGATGTCACCTTTTCCTAGTAAAATCATGACTGGATATTCTTCTTTGAATCCCATTTGGTTTTTATTATAACTAGAAATTAGCCAGCTACAGATGTTCAAGAGGTTTTAAAAAGGAAAATAATGACAGTATTTCTCCAGAGAAGGGGATAGACTTTACCCTGATATTTGAATAAATCCTATGACTTATAGTGGAACCAAGGAAAAAAATTTTATGTACTTAGGCACTTATCCATCCATCTGTGCACCTATCCGTCCATCCATGCAAGTGGCAGGTGGAGCAGTGGCATGGGGAGTTGGGGGAAGGGCAAGGTTATGCTAGTGCTGGTTTGAATATAAAATAGATAGAGCAAAGTCTTGACAATGGATACTTGGGGTGTGGTGAGTTGGGAAGCAGGCTGACTGTTACTTGCTGAAACTGTTTCCACCTCGTTCCAATGAAACCCAAGACTGGGAATGTTTCTCAGGCCTCATTTTATAGAGTGGATTCTTAGTAAAGGAACCTTTGGACTCACTCATTTTCTTATGTGTTTTCTCTTTTGATATGAACTGCAGCATTTTTTACTGGCCTGGGGAAAAATATTGTAGGAAGAGCTATGGTGCATTGTTGCTGGTTTCCAAACTCAAATTCAAATACAGAAGAGGGTTAGGGGACTTTGAGATTTTTTTCCAACATCAGGGGTCTATGAATGTTAAGAAGCACCTTATTTTAAACCTAAATAGAAATGAATTGAAATCTAGACTTCTGACAAATGGAATTGATCTGTTCTCAGATAAGCAAATCACCTGTATGAACATTTATTTCTGTGATAATCTATATGAAATGTCTTTATTCACTGAATGCTTAGTTATATGCATTTATAGCATGATTTTTTCTACTACATGATTTCCATGTAAGATATGGTATTATATATGTTTTATATTTAGTGTAACATAACATTAATGCTAGTGCTTTGAATTCATAATATACTAGTTTTGAATGTATTCAATTCATTTAACTGCTTAGGACTCTGTTTCCTAATCTGTAAGTTCTCTGGGGTCTCCTAGACCTCTAGATTTCTCTATTATATAGGAACGTCATGACCTCTTATGTTTCAAATGTAGTGGTTCAACTACATTCATACTTGACAGAACAATAAGTGCTGAAGGCAGCAAGTGAATTGAAATAAGCATTTCAAAAGCAATAATGTTTTGGGTAACAGGATCAAACACAGCACCCTTACTTCTTTAGATTCTTTTTGCCTAACAAAGTAAGACAGTTGCATTATCGTGGCTATTTTTCGATTCTCAGGGGTTGTCTGTAGCCAAGAATACTTTTTCTCTCTGTATGTAACTCCTGACCTTTCTTCTTGGAATTAGTTCTCAGCAGTGTTCCCATGTGTTACTACCATCCTGGATCTTTGAGGTAGGTTTTTCTTGGGATCTTCACATCCACTGGCATAAAAATGTGATGCCCAGGAATAGAGACGCAGATGTAGAGAATGAAGCTGTGGACACAGGGGCAGAAAGAGGGTGGGACAAACTGAGACAGTAACATTGACATATATACCCTACCCTGTGTAAAGTAGAAAGCTAGCGGGCAGCTGCTGTGTAGGCAGGGAGTTCAGCTTGGTGCTCTGTGATGACCTAGAGGGGTGGGATGAGAGGGGGTGTGTGGGAGGGAGGCTGGAGAGGGAGGAGATATGTGTATACATATAGCTGATTCACATTGCCATATAGCAGAAACTAACACAACATTGCAAAGCAATTATACTCCAGTTAGAAAATATTTTTAAAAAAAAAACATCTGATGCTCACATACTGCTCTCATGCCTCCTGGTCAGCATGAGCCACTTGTTTCCTTTTAAGTGTACACCATGACTTTCACCTGTGAACCCAAGTTGCTAATGAGCTTCTTGCAACTAAACGGCTAAATTGCTTCAATGCTTTTTTGCAGGTGGCTGTAGCCTTTAGAATTTCACCCCATTTCAAGTAGAAGCAATTTTCACTTAGTCTTCTAAGTGAAAGTATCCAAGTGATCCACAGTGCCTTAATACCCGGGGAATTATTTTTTTTTTTAAAGAAGCTTCTTTTAATAGCTTTCTTATGTGAGTTTTAAAACTTCTATTCCTTATGAATAAATAAATAAACTTCCTCTTTCTCCTTATGAATTCTATGAAAGTTAATGTTTATTTTACAAGGAGCTCAGTATATAGTATTAAGTAAAGATTATTATTTCACATGTGTGCGATGAGTGGCAGTGGGAAATCAATGAAAATCATCATTCAATTCCTTATTAGACTAGTTTAGTGCAATGCATTTTAGTATTTATTGTTAATGTCTTTATCCTTGACTTGCATTAATAAGAAAACAGTGCAAATACTTTTGGAGTAATTAGTGGCAGGGCATGTCAGTTAAGTTTCAGTGTTGGTTTGTTCCTTTGTTTCTTTTCATGTTAGGAAATAAAGATGTTAGAAAAAGAACTAGACTATTATTAAAAGACAAACTAATATAATAATTGATTACTAAATTCCACCTAGAAATGCTTTACCTTTTCTGAATACTTTACATTAGATGATATAATAAATTCATTCTTAATGATTTATTTTGTTTCTAGGAAGAATCACTGTTTTATCTTCATTTTTTTTTAACATTTCCAATTTTTATTCATAAAATTATTAATCAAAACAGCAGAAGTGGATTTACAGAGCCACATAAATAATAATAACAAAACAGGAAGGAAATAAAATACTCCAGAGAGAGACATCTTGAAAAGTTTTAAAGGCCTACACGCCAGGCAAAAAAACCTACAGATAAACCACGGTTGTGCAACAGGGTATATTCATTCCTGCATTTTCTCAATAAGTTCCTCCTTATATTTTCCTTTCTCTTTCCCAACCTTTATCTTCATTTTTAATTCCTAGATCCTTTCATAGATGAGTGTTTTTCTTCCACATCTTCAACATGGAATCCCTCTAAAAATCTTACTCTTAGGCTCTGATTACTCAGAACTCACTGCACCCTTTTAAATTTCGATGTTCTTAGAGATATAGTTTAAGTTCTCCCAGAAAATAATGTTATGGAAATTACCTATGAATCTTGGAGCCAAGAATAATGGCTTTAAATTCTATTGCTAAAAAAATTCAAGTGATGAAATAGATTGATGAAAAGCAAAAAGATGTGTAACTGTATAATTTCCACAAAGCATCATTCATCTATGAAGGGTTTAAAAGTTGTTTCCATAATTGTTTCTGTGCATTTGGTGGTTCCTACCTTTGATGTTAAACTGGACTAGACTCACAAGTACTTTGTGAAAAGATTTTCCTACTCTTATTGCCATGTAAAGGTAGATTGGGCTTCCTTCATGGTTCAGTGGTAAAGAATCTTCCTGCAATGCAGGAGATGGGTTCAATTCCTGGGTTGGAAAGATCCCCTGGAGAAGGAAATGGCAACCTACACCAGTATTCTTGCCTGGGAAACCCCTTGGGCAGAGGTGCCTGGTGGGCTACAGTCCATGGGGTTGCAAAAGAGTTGGACATCGACTTAAGGACTAAACAATAACAACAAAAGGTATATTGTTTACAGTTCCTCTCCTATTCACCATGATGTAGACGGCCTTGAAAAAGAGCACAAGGATAAATATTTGTAACTTGTAAATTTATTGTTAATTTATGCTTGTCAGATAAAAGTGTTAGAATTTTATGAAGTTTTAAGATAATAGAATTTCTGTTTGTTTAAGGAATATTTTTCTAATCATGCTCCTCTTTAATGTGTCAGACTAAAATTCTGTCAAGATTTTATCTAACTTAAAGTCATTGCTACTGTCTAGCTTGAAGAAAGTAGCATGGGGAAATAAACTAGTATATGCTCAGAAAGAGAATTCTCTTACACCACTACCTAAAAATACAATTGCAGCTTTACCACTTGGTTATTTGAATGCTGTTGAATTTAACAATAATTATCCAATATAAGTTGTACACAATGTTCCTAGTTGTTTTCAGCCTAGATGTCAGTAGATGTCTTTCTCTGCTAGGATATGAAGCCTGCCTTTGAATCTTAAAGAGAGAGGAACAATGTGTTTTAAAAATTATTTACCATCAATCAATCAATCAATCAATAAATAAAAAGGCATCAGGATATTCACAAATCAATCTAGCATATCTAGTTTGAGTAGTTGAAATCATTAGAATATCACCGATGGGTAAGCAGTCACATAGATATTCTTAATCCACACCATTTCTTTCTTTCTTTCTTGTTCTAGTTTTCAGGGAAGACTAAATGCATATAGGTAGAATTGGAAAATAACATATTTTCAATTTCCCTCCTTGAAGACAAAGTATTCTT